GTGTGTGTGTGTGTGTGTGTGTGTGTGTGTGTGTCTGATGGTATGGATGTCCGTTAACATGTGAGTTTGTGTCTTCTTTGGACAACAGAATTTGGTCTCTGTGCCGTAAGAACGTCAGATAGGACTCACTGACTGGTTCCTCGTATTGCCAGGAGTTAGACTGAGATGTGTGCTCTCCCTGCTTCTATTTATTACATACAAGGATAGTTTCAGTTTTGGCAGAGGTTTTTTGACGCTCGCAACTGCATAAGGTCATATGAGCGCTGAGGGGTGGATGTCAACAGAGAAGTCCTTACTCTGCTCACCTCTCTAGCTTCAACAGCACAAAGTCTGCTTCGACTATCAAGGCACCCCGGAAATAGCGGGTCACAAGAGTGTGACAAACATACCGAAGAAGTAGAGGGAAAATGACGATAGTAAGGATTAGGAAAGGAAAAGAAGCAGTTCCCTGTTGCAGTTCAAGCACAGTTATGGGCATGACATCGATGAATAAGCCCATTTACAATTCTACTGTGCATACGAACAGGTTAATGTCCCCCCTTTGGCCTAAACACGTACATGTCAGTCATTAGCACCGCCCCGGGGGGTAATACATGGGCAGATTAAAGAGAGAGTCAAATACAGAGATAATGATAACACCAGCGCAAATGAACTCCTGTTCGCCGAGGACCAGAGCCTCTAAATTACAAACCACAAAAGACTGCAAGAACATACAAATAACCTGAATGAAAAGGGCAAAGAGTACAAGATGAGCTTCAGCACTGTCAAAACAGAAGTAGCGAAAGTCAGCAGAAACCCAGGCCAACAAAACATCTCAGTCGACGCAACACAACTCAAACAGGTGGAGGAATTTAAATACATGGGGAACATTTGTGTCGTGACGTGGTGAAATCAGGCAATCGTCAATTTTTGCGCGTTTGAAGTTATTATAATCATCTTAAAACTGACTCATTTGTCTCGCATTTGGCGAAAAAAATACCCTTTTATCTTGAGTGGAAGTCGAGATTTTTGCGATTGAAGGAGATGGGGGTTGCCTGGTGTCAGAGGTAAAATTAGTGAGAAAATTTCAGCCAAAGTTTGTTAACTTCCAAAGCTTGAGTGTCCTTGGAAACTAGAAATTTGCATTTTTTGGGGTGCCTTTGAACTACATTTTTCAGTAAAATCCACACAGAAATGTGTTTTTAAATGAACACAAAAGGTGTTGACCCAATAAGTTTGAATTTTAAAAAACTGCCCAATGGTTAGAAAATTGCAGTTTTTTGTTATTTCACTATTTTGACGAGCGCCTGACTTCACCACGCTGCTTCACATTTACACATGACGGAAGAGTGGACAGGGGAAAGTGAACTGAGAACCCAAGGAGCAAATGCAGTAACCTATCAGCTGTTGCAACTACTCACACATCAACACCTACCAATAGAAGTAAAACGACAACTTGTCAACAGCACATTATTCCACCCAACACTGACTTACCACTGCCAGAAATGGAGGATAAACACGGCACAAAAAAAGGAAGATCAATGCTTGTGTGATGAAAAGCCTACAAAAATTAATTAAGGTTGCTAGAAAAACACAAAGGTCTTGAACATCCAGCTCTCACTGGCAAAATTGAAGGCAAACGAGGCAGGTGTAGGCCCAGAGCATCCTACTTAGGAAACCTAAACAAATGGGTAACAGGGAAAGATCAGGGAAACGTAGAGTTTTTGAGAGCATCCGAGCAAAGAAATGAATGGAAAACCATGTTCACCGATGTTTGTCGCAGATCTGACACTGGATGATGATGCTGATGACCATAGAGTTTAGACTCACTGGATGATGATGCTAAGAAAGGTGACATACGGAACGAAACCGTCCGAAATCTAACAGTGATGACACTTGCCTAGAATATATAGAACATCAAAGAGTCAAGTGGTTAGGTCATCTGATGAGAATGTCACCAAATCAACCAGCTGCACAACCTTACAACTCAATACTGTCGAAGCAGGGGCAGACCACGCAAAACTTGGCTGCGTGGTGTTAGAGAAGTCCTCTCAAAAACTAAAAAACCAAACAAAAACAAAACAAAAACTTTACTATCAACAAAAGAAGCCAACCCATCTAAGCTGAGACCGAAAATTGCACCTCTCCTCGACATCGTTTGATACACGACGAAAGATGAAGTAATGTAAACGTAATACAGTGGCGTCTCAAAGAAACTTGACAATGTAATCATCAAATCATCGTGTTAAAGCCTCGCATTACCTACTCATACAGCATACCAATTTAAAGTTTCTGCACCACCTGACAC